GGAGCAACCAGGAAGAAACTGCTCTGCAAGCACCAAGTCTCTAACCTTCCTTTGCAAAGTGCCTCACTGTTGTGGAATTAGGCACACAGGACTGGAAAGACTTCCTGCATCATCAAACCTGAATCTCCAATTACCACAGGCACCCCTCTTAGGTGGTGGGAATTTTTGTACCATATCTAAAACTAACACTCCCCCTTCCCTAGTTTTAATTTTACATGTCAACTCCCTGCACCAACAGACTAGGGAGGCACGCATCAGCCACAGTCCTGATGAGAGTTTGCCTGTGTTCAAACCCTCAACCCCCTTTAATGATTACTGATGCCACCACCCAGAGGGCAGTAAGTATTTTTAGAGGGACCCCTTGCAGCACTACCCCATCATCCAAATAGCAGATCTTGAAGTCTTAATCTTCAGAATTCCCTCTCTCTCTAGCAGAAAGCACCCTAACTGTAACATCTTTAAAAAAAAAAAAAAGCAAAATCCAGAGTTTTACTTAAAGTACCAAAAGGTTCTTCCTAAGAAAATTTATTTCAGAAGACAGTTGCTCTGGTGGGCAGGGTTCACTTCACAACCAGCTACCCAGCTTATTCTTATGCTAATGCTGGCTGTTGGCATAGAATTACTCCAGAATTAATGCCTCCATTGATCATCACTCATTTGGTTGATTAAAAAGTCAAGCTTTTAGACTTATCAGAACACAAGGCAGAGAACAGAACCTGCCAGTTATTCTTTAGTCCTGCTTTGCTTTACTACTTCACTAATAATAGCCAGAACCTTACAATGTTGAAAATAAAGTTTTACCATTACTTGTACAAGGATGGTTAATTATACTTTTGTAATTTTATTTACTTTTTTCTGCAGCTGGAACACGGGGTGGCAGAGTCATCCAGAAATGAACTAATGCAGCAAGGTTGTTTTTTTCCTTTTCAGTCAGAAACTTAATGTTATTTTAAACAAACACACATAAAGGTCTACGCCTTTTAGCTTCAAGACAAAGTACTATTAGCAGACGTAGAGAGAAGAGATTTCTGCTCTCCAAACCAAGCACACAACAAGTAGTTCATTTCTGCATTCATTGTAGCAGTTTCATCAGCACAGAAATAGCATTTTTGGTTTCTTACAGCCAAGAGTTAAGACTTCAACTCCCCAATAATCCATCATTCCACTTTTATCTAGACTAAGTAGATAATAGCACAGCTGATTCACATGCGATAAGACAACTCGACAGTAATGAAATACGCATTCTCCAAACAGCTGACTGTATTTGTGCAACTTCTCCTCCATTTAGAACCAAACATGCCACAGGCTTCTTGGATGTGGCAACCCTCCTCTGAAATAGTGTCTCTAAAAGTGATTTAACTCTTGCAGAAAACAAGTTTGTCTCATGCAGAAGAGAGGTGTAATGAAAGCCTGTTGTCACAAAAGACAAAGCAGGCTATTTTTCCGAAGCTGGAATACTTACTGTACTAAGTCTTTCAACCCATGGAATATCTGAAACGAGTGAAAGTGGCAACTGCAAGATCCAAATATAATTCAGTCTTTTTGAAAGTGAAGCTCAGTAGATTAAACACAACTTGAAAAAGAGCCATCAACCTAAATTACAAGAGCTATTTGAAACTGTCTGCTGGTCGCTTTAAAGTATGATGCTAGGGTGTGTATGTATTCCAACACTTACACCCACAAGAGCAGGCAGTCTTGGAACGTAACATTATCTTGATATTTAGATTTGTTTTAGTTGTTTCACAATACACATAGTGCTTACATTAAAAAAAAAAAATCAAGAAAATGGTTGCAATCTCAGTAAAATCCACTAGTTGTTTCTTTCAAGCCTATGCAGATAGAAAACAGCCTCCCTCCCAAATTCACAGAACACTTATTCACAGAAGCGTATTAAAGCAAATCACAAGCATATTTGTAAAAGCATTTTTATCACATGTGGTATTCCCACACGTATTCCCTTTTGGCAGCTATCACTTCCCAAAAGGGAATTCAAATGGCTTTTAGCACTGAAATTATGGAATAAGGAAAAAAAAAGGTGGAAAACATGAACATGGCATCCTTGTATTTTGTTACGGCAAAGTACAGATGTTCAAGACCCAGCAGTTAGTTGTTCATCTACACTACAGTGCTCCAAGTAATGACTGACGGAATTGAAGCAGTGATCTGTATGAATTGGAAACAACTACATACCACATTCAACCTGAAAGTAGCAGATCTCATTTTACAGCACTATGATCAGCAGCTACAATCTACATAAAGAGACATACTACAAAACTCTACTCAGTATGGAAACAAAAATATTCTAGGTCTGCAACAGTTGAAGCCTGTGTGATTATTTCTGTTCTATCCCATTAAGGGACAGTGCTACACCTCCTGCCTCCCATATGACAGGTTAGTATCAGAGTCCAGCTTAGTACTCAATGAAAAAAAAATACTGCAGCTATGGTTATTTAGAGTGAAAACACTTTATTTTTTTCAACCAAGTTCAAACTCAAACTTGCAGCCATGAATGCCCACTTCAATTAATAGGTATTAACAAAATTTGTGTGAAGAGTTTTAAAGAGGGAAACTTTTCACAATTGCTTCAAAGTGAATAGTGTTAAATAGCTAGCGCTGTGTTTTATCTAGAATTTTCATCCTCCCCTCCCTGCTTCGAATAATAGATACTCACAGTATATTTAAACTAGAACAGGAAGAAATAACATTATTAAGTGCTGAAGAATGAATGCGGGGGGCAGGGGGGGGGAAGGGGAAGAGAAAGAATCATAGAATCATTAAGGTTGGAAAAGACCTCTAAGATCATTGAGTCCAACCGTCGACCCAACACCACCATGCCCACTAAACCATGTCCCTAAGCGCCTCATCTACACGTCTTTTAAATCCGTCCAGGGATGGGGACTCAACCACTTCCCTGGGCAGCCTGTTCCAGTGTTTAACCACTCTTTCAGTAAAGACATTTTTCCTCGCATCCAATCTAAACCTCCCCTGGCACAACTTCAGGCCATTTCCTCTCGTATATAAATATATACGTGTGTATATATATCTCGTATATAAATATATATACATATGTATATATCACATATATATACTTATATATGTATATAAATATAAAATACGTATATAAATACTTGCATTCGGTCTCATTCTAAGACAGCAAACAAGCCATTTAACTAATATGGAATAAATTGTTTAACGAACTATAATGTAAGCACTAACACCACAAGCATGCTCAATCTATTCTCTCAGTGAATCTTTATCTGTACCCTACAACGATTACTGTGTGTAGGAAGGTAGACTGAAGACAAAAATTAAACTATGCTGTCTGGCTTTTACCAAGGCTATTAAAAACAGCTTCATTTTTTTTTTTTCCTCCTCTAATGCAGCATCAGTTCAATATAAAGTTCCTCACACAAGAGCCAACTGCTTTCATAAACTAAAGAATTTGCATTGTACAAAAGTTGGAATAACTTCACACCAGTAGCATGATTTGCATGGTTTTGTATTCTGAAATAGTTGACTATGAACCACCCGTTTCCCTTTGTACCAGAAAACCGGGCAGAAAATATAGCTGCAAATCTCCACACTAAGACAGACATTGAGTCTTCCGTAAAACTGGAAGATTTGGCAGGATGAACTAGCAAAAGCAACTACTTGCTAGTTTCAAAATGTAAGCTTTGCACAAGATGCTTTCGAGTTTCTACACACAAAAATGTCCACCCTTTCAAGAAAGAAACCAAAAGAACACACCACAAATCAGCACTGTAGCACCCATCTTCAAAACTTTCATCTCTTCGATGCAAAATGCAGAGACCTGTAACTCCAAACTCGCCTACTTCAGATACCAGAAAATGAAAATGCAGCCTGCTTTAAGATACATATGGGTATAATGCAGTGGGGCTGACATCATTCAGCATGGGGCACGAGTACTTTTTTGTCCTTTCCTACTCTCCTGTCCCTCCTGAACCCCAAGCGTTAAAACTGCAGCCTCTGATAACAATAAGGCAGCCTACAGAAAGGGAAAGATCATTTTAATTATATCTCACTACAGAAGATGAGCTCCTGGAAGGCTGATGCTATTTTTTTTTTTTTTTTTTTTTTAATACCAGTAACAATTTGTAAGCACTATTAATTAGCCTGGAACTACAGTACCTGTGTGATACAAGGGTGTTCCACTGCAGAGTACTCTTTACTAAGAAACGTGTAACTCCTTCAAAATGGAGCTATACATAATCATGAAGACATGCTAGCTTCTCTGTTCCCAACTAATTAATGGGGTAGCTTTTTCCGTCTCCACTCTTCAGCAAGCTATCAGCAATACCTAAACTTTGATTCTTACATTAACAGAACATTGGGTGTTTTTTAGCTCTGCAGAAAGAAGCAGTTTGCCAGAAGGCTTCTTTAATTTCAGTTGAGGGAATGGGTAAGTGCTAGTTCACGCTCCAAATAAAAGCCCTTTCAGCAAAACAGCCTCAAGTACTCTCAGGGAACATTGAGGCAAAAGATACACTGTTTTTCAAAGACATTAATTTCATATCAAGTGGTATAACATGAAGAACAGCTTTGCGGAGGCATCCTTCATCTTCAAGTACATACATGCTTCTGCATCACAAGAACATACAGGATAAAGGATTAATTCTGCCTGGATCTTTCGACACATCCTGGAAACAGCATTTTCAGAAAGTATCAGAGATTAGCATTTATGCACGTGATTTGTTCATGAACTTAATTCTTAGATTCACTGAGATGACTACATGGATTTCATGGAGTTACACAGCTATTAAGACATTTTACCCATGTCACCTTTGAGCAGATATCATACATATACATTCTATTACAGCAAAACTGATTCCTAGCCATTTGACAACTGAAGAGCACACAACAAGCTGAGCCTGAATGTCAGTGTGAATAGTTTAAATGAGTTCTTTAAGATCATGACAGAAAAATCATTTCATAATGGAGACCAGAATCCTGTTCTTACAGTCTAGTAGCTGCCTGAAAACAGTAAAAAAAATTCATTTAAAATAAGGCACAGATACTAATGACTTAATGTTTAATACTGTATTATTGATGCTGTCAAAATACAACTTTTGGCAGTTAAAAATAATGCATTATTTTATTAGATACTTCTCAATAACGATCCTCAAGTCAATCTTACCTTGCCACTAGAACAAAAGCACCATCCACAGTTACGATTTGGTAGATCCATGGCCACATGCAGAATTCATTATAAGCCCATGTATTTACATCTACAGTCAAGCTGGATTTTTGAATACTAGTGTATTTCACTTTAATCAATTACAATGATTAATTCTTGTATTATCAGAAATAAATGGCCATGCGTTACTTCATTTTGTCTATTAAAAAACAGGAGAAAAGATCTGAGTTTCCATCACCTTTACAATATTCTCCTTGAAGAATTATCTAAGTTTCAGCAATTGCTACCCAAATTATGAAGCTAGTCTTTATGCTCCTTTTACATTTAAGTGCTCAACAGAACAGTAAAGTAATAAAAGAACATCATCATACTGTAAGTTCCTTTACATTTTTAATTGACAACAAGAACATTTGAAAAGTAGTAACTTCCATCTCAAACTCTTCTGAGCGTGAAATATCTCTAATGGTACGTAACAAATCTAGCAAAAAGAATTTGGCTATGGGCATATCTTGAGATTGTCCCACAGAGTTCTCAGTTTTGGGATGTCCCAGAAACTCTTCCCTGTAGCTGACTGCCCTGGGAAGCGCAAAACCTTTGGTGGTTTAAAGAATATTCAAATAACCAAAAGCACCAAGTTCTGATGACAGATTCCTAGTTGGCCTTCAGAAGTCAGCAAAGTGATATGTAAATTAAATACAAAATGAAGCAACAAGAGGCCTAAAGCTGTTGACCACTACAAGAGTTTAAAATTCATTTATTTCATCTGTAAAGCAAAAACCACTTGGGGCTATCAAAAGACTTTTCTCCTGCACATCAGTAAAAGTGCATATGCTTAATGCTAGGTATGAAAACAACCCTTGTAAGTACTTAGTTTTTTTAAGGAAGTAGACTATTTGGTGATACATGCTGTGCATGTATATTTATGTTTTAAGTGAACAGCTGGCACTTCATAAGTTTTAACTGGAAAAACATGCTTCCTAATCACAAAATAAAAAGGCAATAGCAAGCCTAAAATCAAAACTCCCTCAGAGCTATTAAGCTATAGCTTCTAAATTAAAATAGTACAGGACACAGCAATAGGACAGTAAAAGACTTTATAGCTGTATTTTCAATGCTATTGTTGGTATGAATTTGCCATCACTGATCAGGCTAGAACTTGATTAATTTTGCAAAATCTCTTTGTCAGTTTCTTAAAGGAGGTAGTATAAAAAGGGTGCGATTTGAATAACATGGCCTCATCTGGCTGTAAACATTTCAAACAATAGACATAAATATCTATGATAAAAAGAACTGTGGAAAAGGTTATTCTAGAAATTGTTTTTATGAACTTGAAAAGAAAAAACAGTAGATACATTTAATATATTTACTTGTTTGCATGTAGTTTAAATGATACAGAACGAGATTACTGTGTTAGAAATCCACATACAATATAAAAACATTTGTTAGACATAAATTCACCATTCTGCTGACATTTGCAATAACTGTTTATCCAAGCTTACTTCAGGTATTTATAATATTTGTCATACATGAATTTTTGTATATGTGCAATGTTTCATTAACTACACAATGTGAAACCCTGATTTTTGTAGTTTTTCATCACAATCTGAACACAATAGCTATCTGCATCTTAACACATTGGCTTTTTGAAACACTAGTAATTAAGGCATCTTTGCTGTATAGTTTCTCAATAGTGCAAACAAAAATGTCTTTAATAACTTGATTAAATCATAAGTAATTGAATATTCTGAAGGTTTTTTTAATGTAATTGGAAGATAGTTGTGCATTTTGGAGTTCTCGTGAAAGAAACATTTAAAAGCTCTTAATGCTGATTGCTTTTGTTGGTTCCTTATAACTGGTTCTGCTGTCTTGTCTTCATAACAGTGTAATTCATCTTCTTTTATGCAATGTTGTAGTAAAATACAGTAGCATTTAAATGAATACCTAGTAACTGAGTGAATCCCAAATGCAGCAAAGGCATACAGTTTTCATAGTGCACTTTCACCTCACTGAAGTAAAAGTTGCTCCTACTAGACATTTTTCCACTTCAATGTGAAGTAGATTGTTAGGATTTTGTTAGTGGTTTCATTAAACAGCTTGACAGTTCAGTTCTCTTCTGCCAGTATTTCTCAAAAGGCTTTCAGAAACAGTACGTATTTCAGAGATACTTTAGGGGATTGTTTCACCACATAAGCACACATAGTTTCCCAATCATGTCAGTGTAGCTGTAATAAATAAGCATTTACATCCTAGAAGGAAAAAAAGGAGAAAGCGTTTGTCACATTACTGATAGCTGTAACATGGACTGTGTGTCTGAGGCAGGGTAACCAATCAGGACCATAATACAAGAATAATTATGTTTAGGCCAAATTTTAGAACAAGTTATCTTCAACTTCCAAGATTACTTTCAATTAATGCTTTCAATAGCATTTCTTTGTATACTAAAAAGCCTGCGAGAACAGTGGGATTGTTTCCAAAGCCATCAATTTAGTCTGTTTTTCCTCTGCTCCCTGCATGCACAGGAAAGAAAATCATCATCATGAGATCATGTATTTGAAACATGTTTATTAAGAGTGATATTCCTTCACCCCATCCCTCCAACATTCTTGTACTACTCCTTTCACTCCTGACTTGTTCAGGTGGCCTTGGTCACAATCTATCCTGATACGCATTAAGTAGGCAGCAAATGAACAGAAAGGTAACCTGAATCCTAAAGAAACAAACTGACGCTGGCTATAACTGCTACGTTGATCTACCAGCAGAACTAGGCAGTCTATATTACAAGCTCCCATTGCTCCAGTTGGGAGTTAGAACTCAATTCTGCATCCCTACTGATTGAAACTCTGCAATAAGTTTGTAATTATCCTTGTAGAAACATAAAAATTGAAGTCAGATATGCACAGCAGTCCCAGAAGAACAAGAAATAACTTATCTGTTTGATACATCAAAGTGACAAATTCTGTAGCCATAGAATTATAGATTCCACAAAGCTCCTTCAGATATAAGTAAAGCATGCAACCTCCAAGTTCTTTCCAAGTTCACTCAAATCCTGCAAGTGTCTGCTTTAAGTCCTTTCTCACTGTCTACCTTCCTCAGGTCCTGCCATGTGCAGAGGTTTCTTACTCAGTGTAACTTTGAGGTGCCCAACCTCAGAAAGCCATGTTTACAGAGGTAAGTATCATGAGCAGCAAATCATGCATTTACCAGACACCCTCATTACATGACCGATACCACAACGTACCGAGAAAGGCAAACAGGGATTCACTTCAGATAGAGACTCTTCTGCTCTCCACAAACTCATCATTTTCTAAGCATTAAGTCAGCGGTAAGTTTTAGAATTTAGTACATTGTCACTTGCCCCAGTCACCCGATGTGCAAATGCTAACAACATCGCTGGGCTAAGATTCTCCACGCTGCTTTACACTTACAACAATGGGTACAGTAGATTTCAGAGAAAACATCTGTCCTTTCACAGTCTACCTACTCATCTGGGCCCTTTTTTACATCAATTTTAAGGCTTATTACTATTAGCTATTTTATTATTAAGGAGATGCTTTCTCTGTAAAGAAAAAAAAGGATAAAAAAATTCATTGTTAGCATTCTAAACCACACTACTATTAGCACAGGGAATACACTCCAGGCTTCTGTAAAAATTGTGCAAAATACTTGAACACTAGTAGAAAATAAAGGTGTTTCTATCCATCAATAGTTCAGCGTAAATAACATCAAATGAGAGGAATACTGCAAGTGATACAGCTATGTTCTTTACTAAACACAACTGGAACTGGATTACCTTAGCTATATTACCAGTATATCCTGGAACCAGAGTAAGATGATTCTCCTGTTCCCATAATCCACTTAATTGTTGTTTTAAAATATGAATATTTCTGAAAAAGAATGAATACTTTATAACCTATATACTACATTCCAGTAGACTTTGACTGAAACATATGATTAATACTGCATATAGACTTTGTATGATAGATATTGCCACAATATCTGAAAAATTTTGATCCAACTTCTACAGCATTTGTATAACCCCCCGACATAGTTTATTCTACATGTATTAAAACTCCAGTAAAAAAACCAAAAAACATGACAATCCTTAAAGTTTCCAAACACCAGCTGTGTCTTAAGAACAGAAGAACTTAAGTACTTTTTAGGTTTTACTTTCAAATTATGAGTACATTTTTTTCTCTTGTAGGTAAGGTGTGCTCCTACTGATCAAAGTTAAAACAGATTGAGATGGAACAAGCTACGGAAACACATTTAAATATTTCCCAATACTATACTCACCCATCCTCTGCCTTTTCTGTATGTGCAGACAGTTCTGACCACCATCTTTTAATGACAGCCTGAAGCCAGTTTAAACCAACTATCACATATCTGTAACAACATATTTTACACATTATGCTTTTTCTCCCCCCCCTCCTCCAATATCTACAGGTCAGCTAAAGTGTCAAGACAAATTGGTAAGCAACTTAGAAAGCAGTGTTTTTTATTCCGGAAGACAAAATCTGGACAAATTGGCAAGTTGAAATACTTGCCCATGTTTTCAATTTCAAAGTGGTAAACTGAAGCTCTTGTTTTCAGGCAAAATACCTGAAGAATTTCTTTTTCAACTTTGCCTTGATTTCATGTTATAAAGCATATTAAAACCTCAGTGCTATTCTGTTTTACTGTTTAGGATAAACAAATCTGCATAAGGGCAAAGCCAGTCCCCCCCGGTCCTTAACCTTGCAGAAAAGAGTTTTTGCACCACTGGTTTGTTAAAGCAGAAAGGTTCACAGGAAAGCTCCCCTTCAGGTAGGTGTTCCCTGAGAAAGGCAGGGTTGTGAGAAGGGGCAGAGGGAACAAGAGTCAGAGGACTGAACACCATTAATTTCTAGGGCATTGCATAGCCAGGAAGCAATTGTGTTTCGAAAACATCCAAAACTGATACTTACTCTTCATATTTGCTTTTAAGCAGTGATTTCACTAAAGGCAAAAGATCTACACAGCAGCCAACTGAAATATATGGTTTTTCTTCCTGTAAACTTAAAAAACCAAGATGATTCAGAAGTGCTTGAACTTCAGCGTGGTTATAGCAGTCTCTTATCCCCCACTTCTTTTTGTCTGTACCTGTTTGTAAGCACAGGAAGGCAGTCTACTACTACTCCAAGATCCTGTATCCTAGAAACATTAAGAATAAAATCAGAAATGTTACTAGTAGAGCATAGGTTGAAGTATATGCTTCCACTATGATTTAAAGAATAACAAAGTTACAACATTTAAGGAACCCCTAAAAATACTGCAGCATATTTGGGACTGTTACCACTTCAAGAATATAAAAGACGACACTCAGTTTACCTGACTAAGTAGGCTACCAGTTCACTTATACTTCTCCTTTTCCAAAAGGTTAAAGCTACGTTCAGCCTCAGATTCCTGCTGAAAAGAACTTGAGCCATAGTTTCATGGTCCTGAGAAACCTGTATATTTTTTGAAAATATAAAAGAAGTTTACTACAAGTTAAGTAGCCAGCAACAACACAATAAGCTGCTCTAATATAGTAATTTAGTATATGAAAATATACTTTCCTACCTGTATGCTGATGAGTTTGTTTTAGAAATTTAACTAACAATGGCCTTAAAAACACAAATTCACCTTAAATAGGGCACAAATAGATTAAGACTACTTTACCCAAAAGCTACAAGAATAAGGTCTGTAGACACCTAAAGAGAGGTATCTAATAATTAAATAGAGCATTCATGAGCATCAACCTATAATACCAACTTCGAGAACTTTTTACTTAGATGCTTACTAATTTTGAGAACTTTAACAATTTAGACACAAGTAATTACATGTGTTATTCTGAACTTTGACAGAAAAGGTTGATTTCTGAAAAAAGCTTGTTCTCAGAATGAAGTTTAGGTATTTTAGTAAAATCCTGGATTGGGATGAACACTGCAGAGCCACCCACATCTCTCAAAGCAGTTAAACAGTCATCTGTGGCCAGTGATCTGGTCTTTAGTTTCTCAGAGGACGAATCTTCCCCAGTCTTCATTTCTTTACCCTTCTTCCTGCAACCTCTTTATTCTAGCTATTCTGCTGCTTTCTTCCTTGAAACCATCAAATTCAATGGAGTGCAAGAGTGCCACAGACTTGTACCTCCCGCCCACTGGACTCTCAGGGCTCTCTTCGTGGCAGCCCACACTTACAGTACCATGAAAAGACAGCATGGGGATAGTCTTCGATCTTATCTTCCCTGCCATGCCTCACTTTAAACACCTGCAAGCCTCAATGGGTAACAAACATCTATGGTGACAGAAATAGAAACTTCAACATTAAGGGACTTAAATGGCCTTCACTGTCACAAAATCTGTTTCATTTAAATATCTGACCTTTTAGCCAGTTTCAGAAGCCCTGAAAGCATTCACTGGGTTTCATCAAGCAATCTTAACAAGAAATGGTCTTATACAAACACTTAAGTTAGTTTCATACACACTAAGCTGATACTACTATTGAAAATGGTCCTATCCTACCTCACCAGCTTATTCCCATCCATACACTAACACTTTCATAAACATGCATGTGGCCATGAGTCATGCCAGATCATGAAACCTAACCAGGTCAAAACAACGTTTTCCTTCGGTGCTGGTACAATTTTAACCCAGACTAGCCTGGCAGATCTGAGTTTCTGTGCTGACACAAACATGGGGAAAACTGACAGGACTACTACTGTTGGCAACTGTATCAATGTAACTGACAGATAAAGACTGTAGATCACAAGACCTGAGCCAATCTGTATGTTAAGAAAATTAATCTCTTTGAAAACTTTCACAGCTAACCACACAAAAAACCTACCAGGAATACTTTTTAAAAAAATATTATTTTAAAGTAAAATTTCTTTAAACTCTACTTACCTCTGAAAAAAATCCACTATATTTGGATGAGGGGCCTTCTGTTTGAGATGAGCCAGAGTCACTAGAATTCAGCAAGTGTGTACGACTGTTGTGCAGTTTTGCTGGCAGATTCCCTGCACAAGCCAGTTCATTTTCTTTATTTGCCATGTCACAGCCCCTAGATTTAGGGAACTGTTTCTTTCCGTAACAAGGCTTTGGAGTATAACAATGGACTTTTCTTTTACAATATACTACTTTGAAAAGAGAGAGGGGACTGGTCACCGTTTTTCCAACTGTTATTCTGCAATAATAAAGTGGTATGTTAGTGAAGGTTGCTCTAAACCTAAGCAATACTTTGTGTTAAGTTAAAATATAACATTATGAATTCCGCAGTCAAGTTGCAGGTTACTTAAAACATTTTATCCCCAAGATAACCTAAATGTCATGAAGGTGTATCAGAAGTAAGAGCTACCACCAATATTTTTCTCCTGCTTTTATTAATGCGGAGACTCATTATTATAGAAGTGGACACAAGAACCAAGTACTGTCAGTAAAATTAAGACCTATCTTCCATTTGTGTCTGCTTGGGTGTTGTAATAGTTTTAAACCACTTCTTCCTCCCTGCCTCCCTCTCACTTGAAACTCAGACTCTACACAGCACAGCCTTCCTACCTGTTTGTGTACAAAGCCAGCTGTTTTGGAGATTTCTTACCCTGGGAGAAAGGGAAGAGAGAATAAAAAAGCTTTATTACTAAAAAGGCGCAAACATTCCCACAGTTTGTCAAAAAGAAGTCCTGCTTTACCTTGGCCTAAGTTTACCACAGATTCCCTTCCACCCACTCTTCCTATTCTGCAACTAAAGCACGGCTACATTAGTCTTCCTATAATCTTGAAGTATTTCAGTGACCTATAGATGGACTAGCTCTGCCACAGCTGTCCTTGGAGCACCACGCTCAGCTATAGGCTTAGGGTATCTTTGGCAAGAGAGGGGATTGTGACATCAGAGAGATTCTTTAGTTACTAGCAAACTAAAAACTGTGACTAATATAAAGAGACTACTGGAATCGGATGGCAAAACTGCATTACTTGTCTCACACATACATTTAAAGGCCCATAATACAGCAGATGCTAGTATTGGGAAGGATGACAGCAGAACATCTCCCAACCAAAGCACAACAGAAAAAAAAAAATCAAGACTGCTGTAGACAACACCAGCTTGATTATCCTGAATTCACACATATGAAACAGATTAGCACCCTGACACCAATTAGGTTGCACGGCACAGTGATATCCCAGAGGAATCACAAAATTCATTCAAGGTTGTGACACACAGATTAGAAAAACCTTTGCATGTAATGAAGATGAGTTGAATTGTGACATTCTGGCCTACCTTTTTTTCATTAGTAAACAAATTATTAAAAATAAAAAAGCACTAAGATGCTCAAGTTAGAAATATGTATTTTCATATAAACAGGTTATATACTGCAGGCATTTCCACTTGAAAAATTATACTACTGTTAACATTTATGTTGTGTACATCAACAAAACAATACTATGATTTTTTTTGGTAACACCGAGTCATAAAAAAAATCATGTGGGTTTTAATACATAATTTCAATAAACAGACATAGATGATATTGGCATATTCACCACTGTTTAAAGTGATCTTACAGTAAGTTTACCTCCCTAGTACTTCCTCTGTACTCCACCGCCTTACTTGCTATTCAGCCAGTAACACAGGTAACAGGTTATGAGAAAATGTTTCCGACTAGCAAGAATCCAGTGAAAGTACACGTTACTAGTCAATGTGGTAGATAGAGCTGTACGATAACAAGATGACAGGTCCATTTCAATGCAGGTATTTCACCTACCCCACCTCTCACTTGTGCCATGTAGCTCTCTTGGCAAGAGAGAACTTTTTGATGATAGAATTGCTCTATTGAAACAGTTCTTGGCTAGACTGCAGAAAAGTAGGCGTGAGTAAAATCGTATCAGTACCTACTGCTCACGTGGACGATACGATGCATGTATCTGTGTAGTCACTGCCTGTGCCTATTATAATGCACAGTTTTCATAATATAATCGCTGTTCAAGCTAAAGTTTTATTGCACATCTGAACATGAAATGCCCAATAGTGCTGTGCTTCTAGTTTTAGACTGCTCAGAACTATGAACTTGTTTGAATGTTTACTTCAGTTTCATCAGAGGACATTAAAAAAAACCCAAACAACTTACCTCCTTCATGATCTTTTTAGTGGAAGGAGAGATTCTTTTTCTGGGAAGATCAATGGGATGACCTTCAATATGCAATACTTTCTGTTTTCTAACATTGTGGGCTTCAGATGCCATAATCTCTCAAATCCCTGTTTTCAAGGGAAAGATAGTTATATTTTCCTAAAACATTCAGTCAACTTTTTTCAAATGCAGCTGGCAAAACCAGTTAAGACAGCTCAACTATTCACAAGATGTTTCATCATATAAACAATCAAGATATCATCCTTTAGCAAATGTTAGCTGGAGGCCTTATCATTAGTAACATGCTGATGAGCACTTCAAAATTCCCATTTAGTTTTCCAAAAGGGAACAAAACTAAGCCCGCCCCAAAGAAGCAGAAGCAGAGATCTTATTTTTCAGACCAGCTTAGTACACCTGCACTGAGGGGTACCATACAGACAAGAATAAGGCAATTTATGAGATTCTTTCCTCCACATCTCACACTACATATTTCATCTGCCACCTAGAGAAAAATAATTGGTCCCACAACTGTTTCCAAGTGAGGAAAGGCAGCTAAATAAAAATAATCACCGTTTTTCAGGAAGAAGGCAAACTTCATCAAAATAGCAAAGGTAAAAAAAATGGAAGTGAAAGATCTCCCCTTAATTTATTGGCAAATCCAACTCCCCGCCCATTTTTCTCAGCATGTAACTTCGACTATTTTTCATATTAAAAAAAAAGTCTTTATTTCACAGTTAACCAGTACGAAAATGTCTAAAGTTCTTTGTCTTGAAGTATGCAAATACTTCTACAAGAATCAAAACCAAGATTGAGACAGTTGTACATATGGTTTTTCATTCTGTGTAAGTGATTCAGCAAATCCATTGCTTGAGACTGGATTCACAAACTACATCATGGAGCACTATTCTTAAAATGTTAAAAAAACATCCTACCTTACTTTTAGAACCCAACCATTTGCTCTAATTTTATTGTTTTTCCCCTAAATCACAAGACTCTGGTCCCAACGTGAATGCCCCAATCTCTCCCCTCCACCTTTAGTACCAACAGTCCTATCCATTTTCCTCTATGTAGCAGATTTATCCCACATCAAGAACTTCAGTATTTAAAACAGTAAGACACTGAGCACTGAAAAAGCCAGATGGGAAACAGCTTATTAGCCACAGAAGATCTTTCGATGCAAGTTACTAAAGGCCATCAAACAAACAGGTGGCAGGCTCAAAACAAAGTAGAAGGTATATTCTCCACATAATGCATATTAAATTCCATATTGTAGGATACAGTGGAAGCAAAAAAAAAAATCTTCAAATGCTTCAGTTTTCTTTAGAACAGGATCAGTACTGAAGAATCTCATTTGAGGTCTCTCACAAAAAGGAAGATTTACTGACAGAAACCCTTACCCTGTTAGATGGGAACACGGAGCCCTCAGACCAATGACTTCAGCAAGCATTGCAAATGGCAGCATTATTTAGGACAAGACCTTTAACAGTTGGTGGTCCATACTTTTCCAGATACAAGACTGGCTTAAGACTGGTTCATTAACTTGACTCTTTCCCTGCATACTATTGGATGGTGACAGGATAGTTGTCACCCTGTGAGCTCTCCACACTTCCAGCCACCAGGCTTATAAATAAATAGTAAAAAAGTATTTCCCCCCCCCCCCAAAGTTTAGAAGAAACCACAGGAACAACAAACAACTTCTCCTCTGCTTATCAGAGTGGTTGAAACCACTTTTTGGACTCAAAATGGGCTGTATATTAAAATTTGAACTTGGAGCACAACACAACAGCAAACAACTGAACCTTTGAAGAAAAGCCCAACCCAACAACCCTAAAATCCAAACAAATCCAGCCTCATATTCAGGCTAATGATGAAAAGCCCAACCCAACAACCCTAAAATCCAAACAAATCCAGCCTTATATTCAGGCTAATGATGAAGGCAGAAAGCTAGGAGGACTTGGAAAAACCTTCATCCCCTGATTAAGAACATTGCTGAGAGGAAAGCAATAAATTCTAGAAGAATAGGGAAGCCAACCTGCAACCACCAGAGCTAAACCCCACAGAATCATCCTGTCAGATGCTAAAAAATCCATAATCTCTGTTCCTGAAGAATCATTTTTGCAACTACTCCTGTGACACACTGACAGCTTACAACTCTTCTTGCAGAAGAGTGACCTCTCCTTACTTGCTTGTTTAATAAATGATCTCAAACTACCCTCCTCTTTCATGTTAAGCAGTTAGCGAGAATCTGATCTCCAACATACAAGACAGCACTGTTAAACTAGAATGCTTTTTACTTAATAGAAGTGTAAAATATCAGAAGGGCAGAAAGAAATGTCTTACCAAGGAAACTCAATTAGCATATCAATGTTTAATATTGGGCTCTAAAGAGCCTAAGATAACATCTCAAAATACCTGAACTGGAGATATCTGAACTGGAAAGAGATTATCCTGGAGGGAAAGAAGTTCCCTACAAAAAGTTGAACATGTTCAAGAGAAAAATGAAGAGAATTACATACTTTGACAAATTTGGTATAGGAACATAATGCCCCCTTAACCTCCCAGTTGAAACAGGAAAAGACAACAAAACTATCAATGCTTTCTTTAAGAAAGACTGGGAACAGAGACCCAAAAGGCCAACAGATGATCAGATATGAAGGAACATCTGATGAAGTGAAGTAAAATTCTTACACCTGTGTTCACTATCCTACAGTTTAGAGAGGTTTCCATAGTTTAACCTGTTTTGTGAGGGTCTCTGACGATGCAGAAGCAGCAGGGAACATACAAGCAGTAATGAAATAGCTGTGTTGTTAACCAAGGTGCAGAACCTCTCCCCTTGGAGCTGACAAAGCACCTAAAGAAATCACGTGTGGAAAATACAGTCAGTATTTAAAGATGGCCTCAAGGAAGATCCAGACTGACATCTGTGTTGTGCAAATTAGTAAACAATGTAATCAAGAATAGAACTAGTGGACGCAAACAAATAATATATTGGGAAAGATTCAACCTGGCTGTTGTGAAGGCAAGTCCTGCCCTGCAAAATTAATGGAATCCTTTGAGAGTATGAGGTAGTACAACATGGATAAAGGACAGCTAAATGATAGTCTACGTGAGATTCAAAAGAGCTTTCGGAAGTCCCTCACTTAAATCTCTTGAGGAAACTAAGCAACCGAGTGATAAGAGGGAAAGTTTTTGCATGGAGAAATAGCTAAGAAACAGTGATAAACTGTCTAAGCAGTGCCGACACTGAACAAGGCCACCACAGGAATCCCACAGAAGATCTGCATTCGTTCATGCTGTTTGATATATTCATAAATTACCTCAAAGAAGATGAGTAGTTAAATGACCAAGACTGTTGACAATACAAAGTTATACCAGACACTGAAGATGAGGACTAACTGAAGAATTAGAGAAGGACTGTGCTGTATAATAAGCAGAAGCAATGATTATATATTAACGCGAAGCAAAGTCTCCAGGCATAAGGAAATTTTGGGTTCCCATATAGAATCACAGGCTCAGAGCTAAAAACTGCCACCCACAACAAGATCTGGATATATGACAGTTTACTTTAGATTGTTTGGATTGCTCAATGCTCCATATGGATCAATAAATAGAAAAATAAACAGAACACTGTTGTGACAGTGTCTAGAACTAATTTGTGCCTGTATTTCAAATACTGAGTGCAGGTTTAGTCCTCTTCCCTTCAAAAAACAAACCCAAAATCAAACAAAAAACTCAAACCAAAAAACTCAAAAGACTTCTGAGTAAAGTAAAAAAGAGGTCAGACAAAGGCAAGTTAAAAAAGTATTGAATACCTTCCAAACAATCAACAACTGAATAGATCAGGCCTTTTCAGTCTGGAAAAGAGGCTACGTATAGTAGAGAGGGGAAATAAGACAAAGACCTACAAAATGAATGGCTTGAAGAAGTTGCATAGATTGTTTGCTATCTTGCCCAATATAGGAATGAAAGGGCAAAAGACACTAGCTGAAGGCAAGCTCGAAACTACCAAAAGGGGGTGGCTCTTTGTGCAAATTATAATCAAGCTGAACTTGCCACAGGATGTTGTTGACCCAAATGTTGACATGGGTTCCAGGGTAGACTGCAAATTCGTAAAAAAGAAATAACACTGAAAGTGATTAAATATAGAAACGCAATCCAGGTAGCACAGACACAGAGCAGAACACGAGCAGAAGAATCTGGTACATCCAAACCTAATGATGCTACAATAAACTTAGTCCACATCTCAAGAAACCTGCTTCCAAAGGCTTAGTAACACATGATAAAATGCTAGCTGGCCAGCAATTAAAGAGACGAATGCTAGAAGATGAAAGGCACTTTACAGGGCTCATTACATCTTTCATTTCCTATCTGCTATCAGATATCATCTAGGGATAGCTAATTAGACACTACCACCCACTGTTACTTTGAGACATGTACAGAGGACTTTTAAACTGGCATTAGATACTAATTTATACGAGATCAAACAACTTATACCTTAACGTCTTGAATTTTTGACAATTCCCTTGTGATGAGTACAGCTAGTTGTATTTGTTCAGAACAATCTGTTATACCATTTCATTAAGGCCAATGCAACTCCTTTGCTTTAGAAAATTTTAAAAATAAACTAAGGATAGAATGCAAGTCCCTTCAGCTCTGCCTTAGCCCTTAATCATACAAGCCTAAACTGTTTTATAACTGTAACAAAGTAGACTGCAAATCTGAACAGAGATGCACAATTTCATTAAGAGGATAGGCTCACATTCCACCAATTTACCCCGTCCCATGGGTGACTTCTTGTAGCAGATGCCAGCCCTCCTTCCTCCACCTTTTACTCTCCTCAATTTTCAGGAAACAGAGTAACAACAGCTGTATATACTGATAAGTCAGTTCATTTGTCCCCACAGTCAACAGACAGTACCTGTGCAAAGTTTTCTTGATGGCTCTACTGCTATTTTCTAACTCTGATCTCTCCCAGATGCAATACAACTCTTCAAGTCATTCCAGAATCAAGCAAAGAAAGTCAGCACTAAAAGGTTTTCAAGTGCATATCTATCAAAACCAAGTATTAACAAACTCTGCCACTCCCTCCCATAGTCCTATGTTCTGGGCATGGCCCCCAGAGA